GCTGCTCGACGGGATGCAAGCGTCCGCGATTGGCTCATGCAGACCGTGGAGGAGGCGGGGGAGGAGGGGGAAAAGACGGGCGATCGCGACCTTCCTCTACACTCCAGGGAGGAGCTGATGCACTATCTGCACGTGATGCGTGGTCAGCTTAACGAGCTTTCACATGGCCGGCGCGGCGTCGTTGGCTGCGCGGTCAGCGACGCCACATCAGAAGAGGAGCGTGTGACCGCAGATGTACGTAGAGCGATGCGCGTGAGTTACGTGGTCAGAGAAAATATAACAGACTGTCGAAATTTCATATATTTCGACTTTCATTTGGCTAGCGCTTTAATTATGATACTTGTCTTATATTTCTTTATTTTTTTCACCGATACATGCACGTACACACATATGTATATATATGTTAAAAAAACACCGATCAAATGTTGCTGTATATATGTTATACCTTGATCTATTTAGGCATCAAATCTTGGTTGTAACTCGTTAACAGGTGCTGGGTAGAGACAGCAGCGCGAATGCTGGGAAGAGAATGCACAGTGAGCAACAGACTCAGCCGGCAGTTCAGTTTCCGCCCATCCAACAGACGAGACAGATGTCGAGTGACAGGTATGACGCGTACTGCATAACTCCCCCTATCGCCTATAATATACAGTCACACCTCTATTAGGGATGGACACCTCTGTAGAACGCTGTCCGTAGATGACGCTATTGGGATTTCCCTTGAGTGACAGTTATACAGTGAAGCCATCTCTATAGAATAGATACCTGTCTATAAAGCACGCCTATCGAGAGTTTCTCTTTAGTGATCCTTATATACAGGTTTGACTTTATATAACAACCCGAACATTAACACACTAGAGGTAAAATCAGAGAGTAGAAAATAGTAGTTTTCACTAGACACGGCTAACAGCTCTGAACATAGCTCTATGTGTAACACATTTACTCTCAGAGGTGTGAGTGGAAGTATTCCCTCGTTTACAAAGCCACGCGAGGCAGCGAGATATTCGCTTCACGCTGGTAAAGTCTAGGGATGGCACGGCGATGATATCAGGTTGATGGGTTTCCTAATCGACCGTTATCACTCCAGCTCTCCTGCCTACTCTGGACAGCGTGATGCGGCTACAACAGCTCAGATTGCACGCTGAATAATTAATGTGCCACTCCGAGATTGAATTGGGAGGTCAAGTAGAGGCTCAGTATACGCTCCCCTCCACAGCACGCGCAGCACGATCAACACACAGTAATCAAGTAGATAGTGGCAGGGCCCTGGATAAATAACACATTTTTCCCCGAAGTAATTTTTGCCCGAGTTATTAAGATGAACGTGCTATTTTGCCTTTACAACATGTACAACGTCATGCGTTTCTCTGAAAGTATGTCGATGTATATATTGTTTATTTACAAACATCGACGATGCTGGCGGACGTGTTAACGTTTCGTTGTGTGTTTTATGTGTCGTGTCATCGTTCCACAGCGAACCATCCAACTACGTGCAGGAGTACAGCTGCGCGAAACACAAACCTGACTACAGGCCTTACACGCTGAGAGACTTCCACACCATTAACCACGGCGTGAGGCTGGGAGGGCTGGGACCGGTCGTGGACACGGAGAAGGTAACCCACGACGTCGCCACCGTGGTGTTGAACGTGCAGATGTAACGTCAACTAACCGATACTCGCCCACGACATTTTCAATCTCTAACGTGACACATCTGTCACATCAACTGTGTCGTGGGGACCTGTCCAGTAGGCCCTGCAGCGCACAGGGCTCTGATATTCACACGACTTCCGAGGATACTCGCTGCCGACTTTCAATTTTCGTGATCAGCTGAGAATTATTTAACCAAAGAAATTTTCTTCCTAAAATCACACTTACAATCAAGCCTAATATCATGAGTGCTAACAATACAGGTAATTAAGTCTGTGATAAACCGCATATTTTGATTCATGCGCATATATATTATATACTGATGGCTGTGTGATACTATGTCTGCATGTCCAGTGCTTTCCTTTAATTGTTTATATGCCCAGTGTTTTTTCTACAATTGCCTGTGTGCAGTGTTGTCATATAATTACCTGTGTGCAGTGTTGTCATATAATTACCTGTGTGCAGTGTTGTCATATAATTACCTGTGTGCAGTGTATATATATATATATATATATATATACATATATGTTCGTGAATTACGCATGTTGTGGTCGTAGGAATAGGGAAAAGCATATATTGGATCGCAGGAAACACATGTGCGCTCTGCATGCGCACTGTTATGTAAGAGTAATAAGAGTAATATCTAATACATTATTGTTAATGGTTTTTCTTCGTTTTATTAATTTTTATGCGTTTTTACAGAATAATGAGCAACAAAGTTATGGCCCAAATAAACATGAAAGGAGCAAAAGGGAAACTGGCGCTTGCTGGAACAGAATTGTTTTCCATAGTAACAGGTAAGTCCTTTAATGCTATATATTCTTAATGCACAACTGCATGAGCAGTAATATATATATATATATATATTGCGTGATATATGGTTATAACTTGCATATATTTTTAAAAGTGCTTCTGGATAGTTTTACACTTTCAATTCTTTTAAAACCATATTGTGGTTTTGCTTGTGGATGTTATATGAATTGCAAATTTTTTCATATGTTAAACATGTACTTCGCAGCTCCACAGTAGAAATTAATAAAAGATAACTTTTTGGTTAAGCTAGTAAGATTAAATTTAATTGACACATAAATTACTGTACATTAATATTATGTTATAATAATTTTCTATATCGCGTTTTTCTACCTTAGCAAGTGTGCTAAAGAATCATAACGGCACTGAAACCGAGGTAACCGCTGCAGCAGCACTGTGCCTCAAATACGCACCAGACAGGATTGGAGGAGGAGGAAGGAAATAATTCCCAAACTATTTCAGTGTCGTTCACCCTCAAGTCGTTATATCACAAAATTTTATTTACCCGCGACTAAATTTCGATCCTTAATTATATTTTTGGTCTAGTTTCATTTACCCCAAAATAATTTCATTTACCCTTCGGTGAACTATTTACCAGTTTAAGAAGCACTGTACATGATACACTACACAGCCAGTCCTGCTGGGTAGATAAATACATATATATATATAATATCAGGAGTGGATAATATAGAGTCTCTATTATCCACTCCTGATAATATACACTGCGTATGTTTTTGACTATATTATATTTTTATTGTTAGTATTCATTTATTAGAAGTTTAGCGTATTATTTGTATTGTTAGTAGTCGTTTCTAAGTATAGTTTATTGTGCATCAGCGCGCATATGATGTATGTTATACTCAGGTTCAATGAGGTGATTAATGTAGCTCTATAAATATACATACGGGCATATGTGTGTTCAAGCAGATCCATGTTTCATACCTGATGGCAGCTATATATAATGTTCATTTCAGTGTCGTTCACCCTCAAGTCGTTATCACAAATTTCATTTACCTGCGACTATATTTCCTTAATTTATGATTTTGGTCTAGTTTCATTCACCCCAAAATAATTTCATTTACCCTTGGGTGAACAATTCACCAGTTTAAGAAGCACTGTACGTGGTAAACTACACAGCCAGTCCTGCTGGGTAGGCCTAGATAAATACATATACACTGTGTATATATTTTTGACTATATTATATTTTTATTGTTAGTATTCATTTATTAGAAGTTTGAATGTGCATCAGCGTATTATTTGTATTGTTAGTAGTCGTTTATAAGTATAGTTTATTGTGCATCAGCGCACATATTGTATGTTACTCAGGTGCAATGAGGTGATTAATGTAGTTGTCTATAAATATACATACGGGCATATTATATATATGTGTGTTCAAACAGATCCATATGTTTCATACATGATGGTAGCTATATATAGTGTTCATTTATTTATAGTGTTGTTAAATTTAAAAACCTGGATTGCTTTTGACTTGCTGATGGCTGAATCTTAATTAGATGTGGTAGTGCCACACTATAGCTAGATTAGAAAACCTTTCATTAAAACACCTGTCTAGAGCACTTCATATAGTAGGTATACAGTTCGGTAGTATAATTTTTGCGAGGTGATCCGAGCCAGCTACGAAATCTATCGCTATATATCATATGGTGAAATATAATAAAACAAATGTATATACAAATGATGTCTACATGTATATATCAGCATGCTTTACAACCTAATTTTAGCCAATTTCTAGACTGTTTCAACGTCGGCAATCAACGTTGAAACAACGTTGGTAAACAACGTTGAAACAACGTTGGCAAACAACATTGAAAAATGTTTGGATATGCAATTTGATACTACGTCGAATTGTCAACGTTGAAACAACGTCGAAATGTCAACGTGGAACCAACGTCGCAATATCAACGTGGAAGCAACGGCGCAATATCAACGTTGAAACAACGTCGCAATATCAACGTTGAAACAACGTTGACATTTCGACGTAGTATCAAATTGCAAATTCGAACATTTTTCAACGTTGTTTCAACGTGGTTTTCCAACGTTGTTTCAACGTTGTTTCAACCTCTTTTGCCCACTGGGATATTTCTCTAATATCTGTGTTCACGTAATGCCCAGTATTTTCCATCAGAAGAAATCGTTCGGTAGAAATCATACACTTTAAACAGGGAGAACATAATCGCGTGTAATATATGACATGAAAAATTACAATGCTATAGTGTTTCACTTTTATTATTATAAGGTGCCAAATCTTTCACGCATGCATGGTATCTACCAAACGAGATATTAGTTTCTTGAAACGAATTTACATTAGAGAGCACATATATTCACGGGTAGTTTCTCTAAAATCTCTTTCCGCGTTTTCATATTAATAGTTATATAACGTGCCCAACCTTCTCGAAATTGCCTATACTGTAAGATAGTGAATGTAAAATAATTGTGTATGGAAAAACCTTTGTCCTGGTCACAACGTGATAGCAAGATCATATAATCCCTTAGGGTACGTTTGTATGCTCTTGTTTTTGCAGGTCTCGTAAGTGGCTGCATGCAGGATATATCGGCCCTGTGTGGAAGTATGGTCACGCTTACTGTTCCTCTTCCCGTTTCCTTGAGCACGGGCAAGACTTGGGGACATATGGATGCCTACACCCCATAAAGACTACGAGACAACGTGGCACTGGAACGTGTTACCACCTAGCTCTCTGTGAAACATAATTGCGATTGTACCGTACACTTATTACTACGTTCCGTTGCGTGAAGATTGCTCAACAATGTTATGCCATGAAAAACAACAAAATACCCCCAAAATCTAGAGACATATATATCGGACTGCCACGTGCACACCCATCTATTCTCCGTAACGTATTTAGAGACCATGGATCAGGAACAGATGCGGTCGCAAAACGGCGTGGCGCACGTGCATGCAGACATCGGGAATCTACGCGGTTATCTCACAAATGTTATGAGGTGTTACCAGTTTTGACATCAACGAATATTAACAGTTACCGCTATTCTAAGTCAAATAAAATGAGGATATAGTAATCAATTCTAATGTGTAATCGATGTCTATCTAAAGTATTGGTTGATGAAAATACGGCAATTTATCAATCGAGCCACGTCACATCAATTCCTTCAGCGTTTCTTGTGGCCACACTTATATCGAGAAGCTACCAAACGTTAACTTTCTGCTAGAGAAAGAAGGAAAAGGAAGAGAAAAAGAGAGGGGGAGAGAGATATGCCTGCCTCTGTGTGCGTGCATGCGTCTGTGTGCGTGCGTCTGTCTGTGTGCGTGCGTCTGTGCGGGCGTGCGTCTGTGTGTGTCTATGATAACATTTACGGGAATTCGTAATGAAAAAGTTAAATAATATATATATCAAGAGTCCATAAATAGCGATCTCTATTATGGACTCTTGATTATATCAAACAACGTACTATACTAATTTAAGATAAAACATTGTCACAAATTTGCGCATACACGTATATCTCTCCTCCGCTACCACCTCTTTCTTCCACTTTACCATTTGTTCCTCTTTTGCTGAAACCTTCGTTCCCTCCCCATCACTTCTTTGTGAATGGTAGATGATGAGAGAGGGGTATGTAGAGGGAGAATATGGAGAAGGGGGGGCGGAGTCGAAGAAAATCTGGAGGATGGGGATGAGGTAGTAGAGAAGGAGGAATGTGTGGGAGGAGGGCGGTAGAGGAGGTGGGTTGACATAGATTTGGAGAAAAGGTGGAGGAGGCCGGTGAATGTAGAAGAAGGGAGGAGGTAAATGAGGGCGGATGATGTAGAGGCGAATGGGAGGTGAAGATGAACGCGAGAAGATGGCGGAGAAGGGGAAAAGGTTGTGAAAGAGGGGAGAAGGGAGGAAGAAGGTGGCGGAGGAAGGAGAAGGTCTGGAAGAGGGGGAAGGAGAAGGTGGTGGATGAGGGAGGGAGGAGCGAGCAAGGAGCAATAATGGTGGAGGAGCGAGGAAGGAGCAATAGTGTGGAGGAGGGAGGAAGGAGCAATAGTGTGGAGGAGCGAGCAAGGAGCAATAGTGTGGAGGAGCGAGGAAGGAGCAATAGTGTGGAGGAGCGAGCAAGGAGCAATAGTGTGGAGGAGCGAGCAAGGAGCAATAGTGTGGAGGAGCGAGCAAGGAGCAATAGTGTGGAGGAGCGAGCAAGGAGCAATAGTGTGGAGGAGCGACCAAGGAGCAATAGTGTGGAGGGGGCGAGCAGGAGCAATAGTGTAGTAGAGGGAGGAGGAGCAATAGTGTGGAGGAGCGAAGCAAGGAGGCAATAGTGTGGCGGAGGCGAGGAAGGAAGCAATAGATAGTGGAGGAAGCGAGCAAAGGAAGAAAATAGTGTGGAGGAAGCGAAGAAGGAAGCAAATAGTGGGAGGAACGAGGCCCAGGAGCGAATTAGTGTGGAGGCAGGCGAGCTAAGGAGCATAGTAGTGGAGGAGCGAGGAAGGAGCAATAGTGTGAGAGAGCGAGCAAGGAGGCAAGAGTGTGGAAGATAGCGAGGAAGGAAGCAATGTGTGGAGGAGCGAGCAAGGCGCAATAGTGATAGAGGAGGCGACGGAAGGAGCAATAGTGTGGAGGAGGGCAGGAAGGAGCAATCGTGTGGAGGAGGGAAGGAGGAAGACAATAGTGTGGAGGAGAACGAAGCAAGGAAAGGAATAGTGTGGAGGAGCGAGGCAAGGAGCGCAATAGTGTGGAGGAGCGAGCCAATGAGTAATAGTGTGGAGGAGCAGAGCAGGAGTAAATAGTATC